GCACCTCTAGTAATATATTTACTGAGAAAAATGTTGATGTGTTCAATACTTATTTTACCCGCTGTATATAATTTTTTTCCCAAAAAATATTTGGGATGTAATTGTAGGATTGGAAAATAAGACCTAAAAWTTCAGGATGTGCTCCAGAATTCAACAGTAGTAGTTTTTAGCTTATTGATATAAAAATATTCAATGGAATTATTCACCTTTGCAACAGTAGGCAGAGTTAAGACCCTCGCCTCTCAGAATCTGGATCGATCGGAGGCTGACTCAYGAAAATAGAGACAAAACTGACATTTTTCACGGCTCTCTGTGGCACCAACCAAAGTGCAGCATTTAAATTAATTTGACAGAAAAAAAACCTCCCCATGGTCTTTATTCTTTTCTGTTTGAAGACTAATGATAGCCTGCATGTCAACGAATATAAAAACATTTTTTAAAAAAAGTTATGAATTGATACTGCGAATGAGGTCTGCCTGCAAAGTCGAATCCTGAYGACATTTTGTCAGCCTTGTAAAATGTAAAAACTTGTGTTTTGCATTGTGTGAAACAATAATTGATTTCTAAAAGCAGAGGATTGTTTCTGATCAGTAGGCACCACACTGTTTAAGCTGCAGCTGGAAATGATCACCAGTATGCTCATTTTATTTCTTTCAAACACACTGAAGCCTCATTTTAAGCATTAATTTTACCTTCCACACACAAAAAAGGCACATCCTGGTGAAGCTACCGCCTGTTTATTATAAAGAAATGACCGATCTGACGCAGCTCTGCTCTTCATCTGTGTGTGTTTATACCATCTTTCTTCACATRTACCGTGCACACCTATTTGGCTCTTAGACTGACTGATGATTAACAAGYTATTTTCTGTGAGTTTGGGTTTCATCAGTGGATAATTTAAAAACAAAGATTAGGCTGCATGTTAYACAAAAAGTAAAAATACTTTCAGCAAATCCATAGATAAAATGGTCTCAGCTCCACACTGGACTCATACAAACAGCTCACACAATGAGGGTTTAAACTGAAACATCAGAGATGAAGTGAATRTCTGATTTCAGGGTGATGATTATTTACCTTTACACTCTGTCCGCGGTGACTCAGACACTGCAGGAACAAACATGAAAGGGAACAAATTTAATGTGTGGAAAGAAAGAAACAAGATTAAAGGGAAGAGAGAGCGAGGCAGAGTCTAATGGAGAAGCAGTTTGGCTTCGTCAACATTTTGCTGACTAATAACAGATGGACGAGCTGCACTGATGAAGCTTTAAGGCCTGCAGATGTTTATCGATCACACCTTTCCATTTACAAATGCTTCCCTTTATGAGCAGGATCTAGAGTTTTTGATATTTTTTATTTAAAAAAAGAGAATTCCTCTCCATAACAGCAGCTCTGAGGCTCAGTTAGACAGGAGTAAACTCTTTTAGGATGCTTTGGTAAAAAAAAATAAATAAATAAAGTGGTGTTATTGAAGATTTAACAGCTCTCTGCTGWGTAATTACCAGTTTCTCCATCTCCAGTTCTCCATACGTTCACTGATCTGTCCATTGAGCCGGTTGCAATCAAACCCACACTGCAAAAACTGTCCATCTAACCAAGTTTTAAAATCTTATATCCAGCCAAAAATCCTTTTTGATCTTGTTTGGACACAGATTTACTAAACAAAAACTGATTGTGTAAGAATAATAATCTTGTTTTCAGAATGTGTAAGATTATTTGTCTTG